ATGGAATATTACTCAGCCATTAAAAAGAATACATTTGAATCAGTTCTAATGAGGTGGATGAAACTGGAGCCTATTATACAGAGTGAAGTAAGCCAGAATGAAAAACACCAATACAGTATACTAATGCATACATATAGAGTTTAGAAAGATGGTAACAATAACCCTATATGCAAAACAGAAAAAGAGACACAGAAATGTATAGAACAGTCTTTTGGACTCTGTGGGTGAAGGTGAGGGTGAGATGATCTAAGAGAATAGTATTGAAACATGTATATTATCACATGCGAAACAGATCGTCAGTCCAGGTTTGATGCATGAAACAGGGAGCTCGGGGCTGGTGCACTGGGAAGACCCAGAGGGATGGGATAGGGAGGGAGGTGGGAGGGGGATTCAGGATGGGGAACACATGTAAACCTATGGCTGATTCATTTCAATGTATGGCAAAAACCAGTACAATACTGTATAGTAATTAGACTCCAATTAAAATAAATAAATTAAAAAAAAAAGAAAAAACCCTTAAAAAATAAAGAATAGAAGAGAGCAGAGATGGATAAATCCTAGGTCCTTGAAGATACCGCTCTTTTATTGACTCAATCAGTCACGAAGTCTCCCTAGCTTCTTCCTTCTAATGTATCAGATTGGGCTGCCATAGACTGGATGGCTTAAACAACAGACATTTACTTCTTTCAGTTCCTGGCGAAGGGAAGTCCAGGCTCAAGGTGCCGGTTGATTTGGTTTCTGGTGAGGACTCTCTTTCTGGCTCACAGACAGAAGGTTTGACATATAACATGAGAAGACCAAGGGCTATTTTCCTTTTCTCAGAACAATGCAGTTGTCGAGTTAAAAATGGTTAGTCCATTGCTGTTACAGGGCATTTCATGAACTGCTGATTGTACATATATGTGATATCATGTTAACATAAACAGGCCAGCCTTTAGGGAGTTTTAAGTTATAAAAGAAACATTTTTCTAAGATCATGTGTTCTGATATAAAAACCATACTCCAGCCCAGTTCTGTCATTATAAAGTTCTGGCAAGTCAAGAGACATTATTAGTTGGTGATTTTATCAGGCAAAACTTTTAACTAAAGCTTGATGAAACCATCACTGCACCATAAAACACCATAACAAATTGCAGTGACGATTCTTTTGAAGAATTTAGTCATTTTAGATCGTTACAGTTTCTTCCACAAAAAGTAGTATCTTAGTGATCACTACAATTCTACAAATAAGAATATGCTTTCACCTTTATGACCAAAAGGAATCAGTTGTGCTTATTCTTGCAATTCAAATCTAATTTTACTATCTTCAACAAAAAGGGTGCAGTGTAGATTTTATCCTATCCTAGTAAGGCTCATATGAAACATTTAACCTATTATTTTATATACATTGTATATAAAGTAATTTTATGTAGTCTTCTAGATGAACATTAAATAAATAAAATTATATAGAAGTGAAGGATTTTCATAATACAGTAAAATTCTCTTTTTATATCTAGCCTGGGAAGTGGAAAGAGCAGCACTCATCAAATTTTCAAAACAAAACCAAATAAACAAAAACAAACTCCATCAAGAAACAAATGATGAGAGATCCATTTGCATATAGATGGATCCATATTAAAGCAATAGAAACTTGGGCCATTTTGAAATCTTAAACCTTCTGACACTATTTTCATAAACTCAAGTAATACAAACCATGTGGTGAATGATTTTCTGAAAAACTTTGCTGGTTTCACTGTGTATTTTATTATTGGCCAAATGTGACATTAAATTTTATCCCCCGTGGCTTGGAGTTAAATGCTTGCTCTGTTCACAATGGCAACACTCAATTAAACAGCATTTTTCATGATCTACACCCACCATTGTTACTGTATTTAGGGGAAATAATGGGGGTACTGACCTATATTGCGTTTCTTATTATCAATGGAGATGAAGCGAATGCAGGGATTACTGGTGATGTACCGCCCAGCCCAAGGGACATCAATCTTCGTGCCAGCTTCATAAAAGAGGCCCAGAGCGTAGCGAGAGGAGTAGCTCACAGACTCCAGTTGCTGCCTTTGGCATTCACTAATTACTGTGGAAGAAAAAGTACAGGGCATCAAACTTGAAAATATCATCTTTCCTTTCAGTACATCAAATACCACACTCCTTTAAACTAGTTCCAACTGTTTTTACTGACTCCATCTCACTTACGATGAATTTTGAAAGGTAGTGTAAAATAGCATCAGCTCTAATTTCTTTGCAGAATGATTACTGTCCTTGGCACACTTGTTTTCATCACACTGAAGGTCCAAACTCTTTATAGACTGGCATTTAAAATGTCTCTGAGTCTGACACTAAGTTGTTTTTCTAGCTTTGTATCCTAGTAATTATCCTGGAACTGGCTGGCAACATTGCAACATGATAGATCCCATACACTGAGCACTTATTGTGGGTCAGGGGCTTTGCCAAACATGTAACACGAGCATTTCACTCTATTCAGCAACCATCATACAAGGTAGGTATTATTCCCATGTTATAGGAGGAGACTAATGATTTATCTCATGGACCTCTTACGTTCTTCCACGTCATACAGTCATTGTTGGCTTGTCATCTTTCTGCCAGTTGATTAGCATAGTTTCTGGAGCACAGGGACTATACCTTAGTCTTTTTTTGTTACAGTCCTCTACCCTACTCATTACAAAAATACAAAGGATGAATGTACAGAGGGATAGAAAGGCAAATAAGACATGCAAAATTAGTTAAAATGTAGGAGGCAAATAATCAAAAAAATGGAAAAATACTGGGAAATGAATTAGGCAGGTTTGGGTTCAAAACCCAATTCTACCACTTAGTAGGTAGGTGACCCTGGTCAAGCTATTAATAACTTATTCTAACTATATTTCTTGTCTTTAAGTGGCAAAAATAGAGTGCATTAGTCTGTTGCGAGGATTACATGAATAATGCATATCACAATGCATGGCATATGATGTGTTCATTATTTTTTTCTATTATAGAGAGAAAAATATTTAGGAAAATGGGACAATGTTCCATCCTGGGATGAAAAAGGAAAGATCCCCCCCCCCTTACATTTTAATCTCCATCTCCAATTTTCCTATCCTTAAGGGTCTCAGGGAGCTTCTTGTTCATGTACTTGCATTAATAATTTGGGTTTTAGAGAAGGCCATAGTTCTATTTTGAAGGCATAAGGCGAGCCACTTCAGAAATGGAACATATGAAAAATTCTCATTTAATTGGTGAAAAATATCCTCATCTGGAAGGCAAACCTCAAGGATGGTGATGCTCTTGCTGCTAAGTCACTTCAGTCATGTCGGACTCTTTGCAACCGTACAGACTGAAGCCCGCCAGGCTCCTCTGTCCATGGGATTCTCCAGGCCAAAATACTGGAGTGCATTGTCATGCCTTCCTCCAAGGAATCTTCCCAACCCAGGGATTGAACCTGTGTCTCTGATGTTTTCCTGCACTCACAGGCAGGTTCTTTACCATTAGAGCTACCTGGGAAGCCACCTGGGAAGGATGGGGATAATTTTAGCCAAACCTTAGAGAAGTGGCTTTTGGAGGAAGACAGAAGGTAAGAAGGGTACTCAATAAATTATTTAAGCAAGTAATAATCCTAAACATTATCACAGCATATTCTTGGCTACAAAACACTTTTAGAACCAAGACTTCATTTAATCTTCACAAAATCTCTGTAAGATAGATGATTTTACCATCCTAATTTTATATCTCTGTGAAGCTGAGATTCAGAGAAGTTAAGTAACTTGCCCTAGGTTACACAGCTTCCAAGTTTGTGTGGCCAAGGTGAAGCAAGAATCCCAACACTGGAGTCATGCACATCTTCATCACTTCCACACTTCCCTTCCAGATCTGTAAGTCTGAGCTTCAAGATGAACTTTAGCATTGCTTTCTCCTCTGACATTACCGGTTATTTTGCACTCAGAAGTAAAGGTCATCATTCCTTTTAACCATCATTTTCTGTCTTATTAAAAGATTTAACTACTTGATAAATGAATGATCTTCTGACACTGGCCTTGTTACACTCGTATCCTGGGTTTCATTTTATTATTTAACCTACTTTTGGAGCTATGGGGCCTGATATTTGCTTACTGCTTTTCTTTACGAAAACACAGATCTTCAGAAATCATAAAATATTCTCACTAGGAAGAGGGAGGAGGAGATGAAGGAGACTCATACTAGCAGGTGAGCACATATTATGCACTTGAGGGCTTATCATGGTTTCCCTTTTTTTTTCAATTAAAAAAAATAAACCAACAAAACTGTGAAATCAGCTCTTTAGCAACTGAAAGGGCTTAAAACTCTCCCTTTAAAAAAAAATATTTTTTTCTTTGTACAAAAACTGAAGGGTCAACTAGGTTGACAACCAAACTGGACCTTTTCCTCCCCTGCCACACACATTAGTACATTTAGCTAGTTTTTAGACAAGCTGCCAAGTAGCAAATCCCACTGGGTAGCCTTTTGAAAAGGTAATTGATATCTATATAGAAACAGAGATTAACCTTAGACACCCTTGTCTGCTCCAGGGGCTCTACAATTCATTCTGAGAACAGGGAGGGGAGATTTTTGACTGAAACAATCTCAATTTCTATACAGATTCACTTACAAAAAATTTTACCTTCTGAGCCTGGAAAGTTTTTGATTGTTGCAGGACCTAACAGAATGGTTTTATTTTGTTTGAAAGTTTTTGTAATGCAAAATGCTGGAGGGAGCTGCCCTAGGTCCGAAATATATACATCTTGGCAAGGAAAATAAATGAGTTCTTTACTATCATGTATTTCAAAGGACCACAAAATAAGGCTCATGTAAAGGTGCTTGATTCCAACATAATAAAACTTTACCTGGATGTCACTCTCAATTAATTCTGAACCACTAGAATTATATAATCTTTGTAATTATACACAAACACACATGCATATATAGTGTATATATATATATATATATAATTAATATAATTTATGGCTATCTGATGTAAATAAAGTGACTATAAGTTGTACTGAAGGGGGTAGTTTATAGTTTACATTCATACTCCTGTCAATTAGGAGAACTGTTCTTATTCCATTCTCTTTGTGCCAATGCCAGTGTGTACATGAGTACATGTGGGCATGGGGGAGGGGAGGAACAGAAGTGAGAAGGAGAGAGAAACAGAATATCTGAATGGTACTCCTGAATAAATTATGCATGTATTTCATTTCATTTTTTTTTGTTTCCTAAAGTAATTTAATTCTTTTAGTTGCCTAACATATAGAAGAGGGTTGGACATACATATTTTGCCTTAATTCTTGTGTGGTTTGGTGATGATCTCATTCATTCATCCATTCATTCATTGCCTGCTAAATGATGGCAGGCATTGTTCTTGATGTTAAGGATATAATAAAGCTCCTGCTTTCAGGTAGCTTACATACTAGTGGTGGAGAGACCAGTTGTCAATAAATAACCAAGTAAATGGTATGTCAGGTGGTGACAGGAATTATAAAGAAAAATAAAGCAGGCTAAAGGGATAAAAGTGACAGGTCTGGGCAGTAAGGCTATTTTAAATAGGCTTTCAGGGATGTGTCTCCTTTGAGGATTTTATTCTGATTGATACAGGAACCATTGCTACTGGTTATGAGCCAAGGACAGAGGTAACCTGGCTTCTGTTTTAAAAATTATCCTGGCTACAAGTGAGGACTCCAAAGATGCATGAGAGGAACTGGGGAAAACAGGTATTGAAGTAATCTTAGGGTGGAGGTAATAGCAGAGAAGATCAGAAGTAGTTACATTTTGAATGTAATACATGTCTATGTGTATACATGTGTGTGAGAGTTGGACTGTGAAGAAAGCTGAGCACTGAAAAACTGATGTTTTTGAACTGTGGTGTTGGAGAAGACTCTTGAGAGTCCCTTGGACTGCAAGGAGATCCAACCAGTCCATCCTAAAGGANGGATATCAGAGTTGGACCACAGACTGTGCGCTGAAGAACTGATGCTGGCAAACTGTGGTGTTGAAAAAGAAGACTTTTGAGAGTCCCTTGGACATCAAGGTGTTCAAACCAGTCAATCCTAAAGGAACTCAACCCTGAATATACTTTGCAAGGATTGATGCTGAAGCTAAAGCTCCAGTATTTTGGCCACTTGATGTGAAGAGCTGACTCGCTGGAAAAGATCCTGATGCTGGGCAAGACTGAAGGCAAAAGGAGAAGAGGTCGGCAGAGGATGAGATAGTTAGATAGCATTACTGACTCAATGGACATGAATTTGAGCAAACTGCATTCTGCAGTCCATGGGGTCACAAACAGTCAGACACAATTTAGCGACTGAGCAACAACAATACACTTTATCTATTCTACTACTGATGGACATTTAGATTGTTTGCAGTTTTGACAATTATAAAAGTAACATAGAGAACATATATGTGTGCTTCTCTTGTGTATCTACTGGGGATTCCTCGATCATGGAACAAAGTGTGATATATTCTACTCTTTTGGAATGATAGAGATCAATCTCTTCAGAACAAATTCTTGGGCCCAGGAGTCTTCCTAATGAAAGTATTTTATGATTTCTGAAGGTCTTTTTTTTTAAAAAGCAAAGTAATGTGTTCACCTGAATTTCTCCTTACTGAAGGCTGATATTTTTTGTCACAACAATGAATATTTCAATAGTAATAGTAAAACAAATACCTTGTAGCATTAGTTTGATATTCATTATCAATACTCAATACTGTAGTTAATGGTAAATGTTATATTGATGGGCAATCTGTGCTCACAGCAGTAACCTCCTTCTAGAAGTTTTTTTGTTTATAGCCAATTACAGAGGATGGCTAATTTTCCAATTTGTTACGATATATGAAGAATTTCAGCTCAGGGACAGTTGAAGTTAGGAGGTCAGTTTGATACTGGCTGCTCTTGATTTACTTATTATTGTTTTATCTTTTATATCGAATTCCAAGAATGTCAAGAAGTTTTATGCACAAGTTCGTTCTTAATCTTAGACCATTTAGTTCTGTGGGTACATGAAACCAATGGTATTTTAGTCAGAATAGCTGCTTGTTCTTTACTCAAAATGGTTGTAGAAATAGCGT